TTTTGCAGTGTTACCCCGTTATTCTCACTCGTTAAGGGCACGGGATCTGAACCGCGAGTGAAGCCCGGCTGCCTCGCCCGCAGACGCGCTCGCTAAAAAAACTACCAAACCACGGCAGGAAATTTCTTTTGAGCACGTAAGGGGAACCAAACTGGCATAATTCACCGGGTTTTATAGCTTGATCCTCAGCTGAGGCTTTCTGTAATACCCTGCTCTGCGTCAGAGGAACTGCCTTGGGAGGGACCGATACGCAAGAACAACTTGCTGTTAAGGAAACTTCCATGCAGGCACAGCCGAGTGTGAGAGGGAGATAAAGGGAGAAATAATGTCACGTTACCGAGGGCACGCTGGCATTCCAACAAAAGGGGTTATGTATGAGAAGAATATTGTACAAATCATCTGTCTGAAAAGCCCAGCCTGACTTAAAATCCCCTCCGCCATTGTTCTTTAATGAAAATACTTGTTTTAAAGGTACCTTTCAATGTAACTCGCAGCACCTGGTGCCTGTGCTGCTCCCTCGTCCTTCCCTGAGCGAGCCTTTTGACGTGTTTCCAAGGAAAGTAGGAATAATGAGCCTGGTATCCTGTGTTTCATTTTTAAAAACCGTTTTAAAATACAGGTTTTTCATCCCTCAAAGGAAGGTTTCTGTTCTCCGCAGCAGTGCCCAGGCTTCTGCCTCCCCAGCTGTGATGTGTGTTAAGACAAAAAGGGAAGCGTGCTCGGTGCCAGTGGCAGGAAGTGCCTGGAGTCCTCCTGCACCCAGATGCCAGGGATACTCATCCTGCCACCACTGAGGATCAGATCCCAGCTTGGTGCTTGCAGATTCTGCCACACCACTGAGTCCCTCCCTGAAATATGGGCTCTGAAGGGATGCAGCTGATAATTTTAAATGACTTTTTTTTCCCCTTCTCTGTACGAACATAAAAAAATTTTGTTTGTTGCAGTTGTTTTCTTGCACGTGAGAAAGTGGTAAACTGAAATACACTGGAGCTTTCCCGAGGAGGAAGGAGGCAAACCCAGCAGGGAAGCAAGAATGCTGTGTGCATTGAGCCATTACTCAGAAAAAGCTGTCTGTTCACATCCCTCTGCCACCCTCTCTTCATTTCAAAGACTAACTACTTCCTTCTCCTCCTCTCCCCTAGAAAAAAGGTTTTCTTCCCTATTTTTTAGTGGCAAGGCAATGCAATAGCAAAGGTATTGAAACCCAGTCTACTGAATAATAACTTAATGATGTGAGCCCTGTTCTGTTCCTTTTGAATGGATGGCTGCTTTGGCAGGAGAGCTGCTGGGATCTGCTCCCTGCTGGGAGGGATGGGAGGGTGGAGAAACCTGGATTGAAGCTGAACAGCAACCAGAGTGGTGTAAAACTGAACCGGGAGACAGGAATGAGGTCAATGCTGCAAGACTGTGAAATGAGGAGAAATTATATGCAGTTAAGCTGAGTTCAGGGACTGACTGGTAGTACGTTCGGAGTTTGGATGTTTGGAGTCATCTTTTAAATCCATTACTGCTCTTATCTGTCCAAGGTAAACACAAAGTGTTTAATTGGCATGTTGAAACGTGGTGCAGCATGGCAGAGGTCAGTGAAATGCACTGGCATCACACCTTCTCTTTGTATTTTCAGTGTGCACAGTCACCCCCCACAAGGAGTGGAAGCTGACAAAGCATTCCTGCTAGTTTCACTTCCTGGCAAATGCATGAAACCTTGAGCATTTACTTTGGCTCTCCAGCAAAGCAGGGCAAACCAACCACATTTATTTCGTTCGTATCTGATGTCACATCTGAATGCAGGTCTCCAGAGGTGATCTATTAATGTCCTAAAGCATCGCACCATCTGGTTCCTCTTTTGATGCGCAACATTTTGAATGCTTGGTTTAATCTCCCTGGGTTTCAGTAAATTATGTAAACTCGGAGGCTTGGCAGCAGGAGATGGGCACCATGAGGAGATGATTCAGTCATCAATATCTATTGGGCTTCCTTATTGCTGCCATTACACTTCTTTCAGTTGCTACTTACAAATGTTGCAAGTGAATAATTCATCGCACTGGGAGCTGCAAGTTAGTTTTGAAATTTGCCCACTCCGAGATTAGCTATGACTAATCCATCCTTCCCAAACGTGGAGAAGCCAACTGGGTTTCTTTTCTGCAGGGTTGGGTGATAAAAGTCAGAAATAAATTGCATGTATATGCAACTGCTGGTGCTGACATAAATCACATTTCCTTTTTTTTTTTTTTTTTTTGCTTTCTGGACAGAATTGGAGCACCTTGGAATAGATGTGAGCACAAGGCACGGCGCCGGCTGACGCTGCCCGGGAACACCATGGCTGCCGCCCCGCATCTCAACTCGGATGCGCTCCGAGAGGTCCTGGAGTGCCCCATTTGCATGGAGTCCTTCACTGAGGAGCACCTGAGGCCCAAGCTCCTGCACTGCGGGCACACCATCTGCAAACAGTGCCTGGAGAAGCTCCTGGCAAACAGCATCAATGGGATACGGTGCCCGTTCTGCAGCAAGATCACGCGGATCACGAGCCTGGCTCAGCTGACTGACAACCTCACTGTGCTCAAGATCATCGACACTGCTGGACTGGGGGAAGTGGTGGGGCTCCTCATGTGCAAGGTCTGCGGGAGAAGGTTGCCGAGGCACTTTTGCAAGAGCTGCAGCTTGGTTTTATGTGAGCCCTGCAAGGAGGCTTCACACCTGCCCCAAGGGCACAGAGTCATTGCTATCAAAGAGGCTGCTGAAGAGCGTAGGAGGGAATTTGGGACGAGGCTTGCCAGGCTAAGGGAGCTCATGGGTGATCTCCAGAAAAGAAAAGCTGCTCTGGAGGGTGTTTCAAGAGACCTGCAATCCAGGTACAAAGCAGTTCTGCAGGAGTACAGCAAAGAAGAGCGCAAGATCCAGGAGGAACTGGCCAGGTCACGCAAGTTCTTCACCACCTCTTTGTCTGAAGTGGAGAAGGTAAATAACCAGGTAATGGAGGAGCAAGCCTACCTGCTGAACTTAGCAGAAGTGCAGATAATGTCCCGCTGTGACTATTTCCTTGCCAAAATAAAGCAGGGGGATATAGCCCTCCTGGAGGAGGCGGCAGATGAGGAGGAACCAGAACTGACAAACAGTCTCCCAAGGGAGCTGACTCTGCAAGAGGTGGAACTCCTGAAGGTGAGCCACGTGGGACCACTGCAGATCGGGCAGGTGGTGAAGAAACCTCGGTCTGTTAACGTGGAGGAGTCGCTCCCGGAAACTGCAGCATCCTCGTCGGTGTCATTTAGGGAGCCTGACCTGGTGCAGGAAGAGCCCAGCTGCACACCCCATTCCTCACCAGCCAAGCCAAGGATTCCTGAAGCAGCCACGAGCATCCAGCAGTGTCACTTCATCAAGAAGATGGGCTCCAAGGGCAGCCTGCCAGGGATGTTCAACCTCCCCGTCAGCCTGCACGTCACCACGCAAGGCGAGGTGCTCGTGGCAGACCGGGGCAACTTCCGAATCCAGGTTTTTACCCGCAAGGGCTTTCTGAAGGAAATCCGCCGGAGCCCCAGCGGGATCGACAGCTTCGTGCTGAGTTTCCTCGGAGCAGACTTGCCCAATTTGACTCCCCTTTCTGTCACCATGAACTGCCACGGCCTGATCGGGGTGACAGACAGCTACGATAACTCTGTCAAGGTGTACACCATGGACGGGCACTGCGTGGCCTGTCACCGGAGCCAGCTGAGCAAGCCCTGGGGCATCGCCGCGCTGCCCTCGGGGCAGTTCGTGGTCACCGACGTGGAAGGGGGGAAGCTGTGGTGCTTCACGGTGGACCGTGGCGTGGGGGTGGTGAAGTACAGCTGCTTGTGCAGCGCGGTGCGCCCCAAGTTTGTCACCTGCGACGCCGAAGGGACCATTTACTTCACTCAGGGGCTGGGGCTCAACCTGGAGAACCGGCAGTACGAGCACCATCTAGAAGGAGGCTTCTCCATCGGCTCCGTTGGCCCCGACGGGCAGCTGGGGCGGCAGATCAGCCACTTCTTCTCGGAGAACGAGGATTTCAGGTGCATTGCTGGGATGTGTGTCGATGCCAGGGGAGACCTCATTGTTGCTGACAGCAGCCGTAAAGAAATCCTGCATTTCCCCAAGGGAGGTGGCTATAACATCCTGATCCGGGAAGGACTCACCTGCCCGGTCGGTATTGCCATCACTCCCAAAGGGCAGCTCCTGGTGCTGGACTGTTGGGATCATTGCATTAAGATCTACAGTTACCACCTGAGAAGATACTCCACCCCTTAAAAGGCATGGCTGTAAGCAAAGCCTCTCCTGGCAGCAGACATTCTTCCAGCCTCCCTGCAATCCAACAAGTGTCAAGCCTTCAGGAAGACTCTGCCATAACCGAAGGGGATCTGGCATAGAGGCCATCATGTTTTGTGTTTAGAAACAAAATAGCTGTTGTGGTGGTGGTGGTCTGCTTTTTCTTCTTCTTTTTTTATATAAAATCCATACAAGTAAGAACAAGCGCAAAGGAAGGGATCGATCCCTTGGAGAATTGGTTCCTTGCCAAGTGACTGGTCACTCCATAAACCTTCTCACCTCCTTATGCCACATCTCCTGCACCCCCAACTTTTAACCAGTGTCTTTCTTTGTGCCATAAAAGCTGAGTGACTGCTCTAAATCACCTTCCCTTACAGGACTAGCGAGGCAATCCTCCTCTCTCTCTGTGGTACTCGCAAGGAACTGGGTAGCAGTTGTCTGGGCAACTCTTAGAGAGAGCAATTTGGGATTGCATAAAACGAAATAGCCCTCATCAACCACGAGGAGATGGAGCTTTACTCCCACCCTGACAAGGGACAGTTGTCTCTCTCCCGTTTTTCTGGTGTTCAGGAGATCACCCCGTCGTGCCATTTGTGAGCTGAGTCTGTTCCATGTGTAGTGAGTACTGTGCAATCGTGGGAGACCAAGCTGAGGCAGAAAATTGCCCTCTTTATTACTGAGTAGTAAGAAAAGAGGGGTTTTATTACTACTCAGAGTCCTGCTAGGTAGAAGGGGGTAAAAAGGGAGGGGGCTGAAGGAAAAAAAAAACCTGAGGGGAAACCTAGGGTTGCTATTTACTGCTGTTTTATTATTAAATGTATCCTGGAAACTGTCTTTGGAAGGTGTACCTGGTATCTAAAATTTCATGGGGAGAGGGGAAGGGCTGGGGAAATGAGACTGGGAGATTGTAGAAAATGAGATTAAATGCAACACACTGTATGTTCACCTGCACTTCACCACTCTGCATTCCAGACCATTGCATTTAGCAATAGGTTTCCACTCATCTGCACCTCCTATGAGCAAGTTACTCACTGCTGAGATAGGGATGGGGAGGGGGGGACTATTTCACTTCTATTTTTTCATACTTGGAAGCACATCCATTGATGCACTGCCTTTTTTTTTCCCTTGCACAGCAAAACACTACATTCCTCAGATATTTTTTTTTTTAGATTTTTTTTTTTTTTTTATACAGCACCAGCAGGCACCAGAGTTGCTGTTCATCACGGCTTTGGGCCAAATGAAGCACAAAACTGCAGCTGTGTGAACCAAGGCCCCCACAGTGCTACTCTCCTGGCTGATAAATGTGTACCTCAGTGTGGTGCTGCTCGCCCAGAATAGTTTATTGAAGGAAAGATGCATTTAAATAGGGCACAGTGGTAGCATGTTAATCTGCCACAGATAATAGTTACACTGCAGTGCATTTATTTGTTGCTATCAACAACGTAGTTGCAAATTTGGGGCCACGACAGACAATATAAAAGCTGATTTTATGGTGGCTGCCGTGCTCCAGCAAATTGTTTGCTACTTGTCCTACAATGTTTGCAACAGGTGAATTTTTTTTTAAGCTCCCATATACTCTCCCCTAATGAAACAGCAAAGTGAAACAGGCTTTCTGAGCTGCTGCTGCTCCAGATGGGTGTTTGGCAGTTACAGGGTTTGCAGAAGAAGTGCTGGGAGCAGATTTTGGTGGGATTTTCGGGTTTTTTTTCTTCTTCCTGTTTGTGCTCAGCCAGAGCACTGAAGGGGCCACCACACAAACACAGCTGTGTGATGGAGCTGCCCCTCCAATCAGGGCAACTTCTGATTCCTCTTGCTATAATGCACTGGAAAAAGCTTGTGGAGAAGGGAGCTGAGGCAGGAGGTGGTAAATGGTGCTGAGGGAGCCCTGGGGACTGAACCCTCCTCCCTTCCTGAGCTGCTCCCTGTGTTTGCCAAGGCTGCCAACTTGCACATCACTATTTATACTCTCTGCTTCTCTTCTTTTGGGTGGGAAGGGGGCATGTGACAGCAATCTGGGGAGCCTTTCCCACCTTGCATGTGTGTTTTGGGGAAATGAGGACGATTACTGGGCCATGCTGCAGTTAATGACATTGTAACTGGAGGCATTTTTCCAGTATTATTGCAATGGCAGTTCCTCTCCTTCTGATGTCTTTTAAACATTTCTCCTGCTTCCAAGAACTGCTCCAAGCAGGAAGCTACCGTGGACCTGAATAACTGAAGCAATATTATCTGTGATAATATGTACCTCTGTCATTTTCTGTTCCCATGGATATTTTTTTTTTGCAATAAACAGCACACTGTACTAGCAATAACATTTCCTGGAGTGCTTGAAGGGACATAAAAAGCTGGTCCAGCAAACTGAGCAGTTGGTTACCCCAGCCTGTTCCTGGTTACAAAGTTCAAACAAAACGTCTGTCATCTGTTTCTCACTCAGAGAATTAAAGAAAATAACACTACCCTGTGATGCACTGGTGGGCCAGGACACTGCAATCAGCGCCTGGGGCTGTGTCTCGCCTGCAGCTCTTCTGGTCTGGGCTTTCAGGCAGAAAAGGGAAAAAGGAAACCTGCTGTCCCTGCCCAGGGTCTGCATGTCCCCTGACAAAACTCTCAACAGTGACTGTGAGATGATTTTGCAGAGCTCTGTTTTTTTGCTGTCGTGCCCCCCACACGGTGTTGTGATCGTCTGCCAAACAAGGAGTAATTAAGGATTGTGTTGAAATAGTTGGCTCCTGTACCTGGAGAAAGAGCTTGTCTGGTCATACGTATGTGTTTGGTTTTTAAAGATTGTGTAATAAAGGAAAAATTGATCCAATTAAAAGTGCATTGCAAACGGCTCATTTTCTTATTAAAACACTACATCTCCTCTCTTTGGTGGCAGGTTGGATTTTACAGCCAGTGGGGATTAGATTGGGAACACAATGGCTACAGGACCCCTCTTCTCAGGTTGCACAGGATAAATCTGATCTCCTTGGCAGGAGATCAGGGAACTCTACCTGACACTTCCCTCACCCACTTCATAAGCAAATGCTCAGGTTTTGAACCTTAATCCACTCTGATACTCCCACAAGGGCGATATCTTCCTTGTCACCATAGGCAGTACCTGATGTTTCAAAGGCCTGCTTCAATTGAAGTGGCTCCAAGTGCTTGGTAACAGGGCATGGGAGCCTGGCTGAAGGTTCCATCCCTGTGTGCCTGGATCATCCATGAACTGCCAGCCCTTTGCATAACAAAGGGCCTGGGGATAGGCACAATCAGGTGAGGAACACCTGGAGACACATCAGGAGCTGAGGGCTCAGCTGGACCCCAGACTTCCCTGTGTTTAGACCACTGGTCCCTCCTGGGCAGCACCAGCTCAGGCTGTCATTCTGTTGTTGCACAATAATTAAATTATTTTAAGGATCCAGATGTCTTAAGACTCTGCTCTGGGAAAGCTGGGGCTGAACCAGTGAGGAAACCTGGTCTGGCTGGGTGAGTGTGGGGGGTGTAGCTGTGAAGGATCCCAGCTCAGGTGGTGCATTGTGATGGCCAGGGAGGCTCCTGGATGGTCAGAGAGGGAAGTTTCCTTAACAGGCACACCAGCAGCACGTGCAGGTTCTCCCCTGGTCCTGCCACCCTTTTGGGTTTGTTGCTCTGGGTGAAGGATTTCATCACTTGGGCTCATCCCAGGTGATGGGAAGCAGCACTTTAAACTGGTGTGAATTGCTGGTTTATCAAACACATTCCATCCTTGCAGAACAGCTGCTGTGTGGTGCTGTTAGACCCACCCTGCCACTTTATCACAAGTTTTGGTTTCTTAGGGTAGGAAAACTAAGCCATGGGTATTGTCTGGGGCAAAAACAGGAGTTAAGGTTCCTAAAGGGATGAGGGGGAGAGCCTGTTCCTCAATCAGAGGGGGCAGAGCTACAAAAATAAAAATTAAGCCAGATGCTTTGAGTGGTTTGTATTGTATAGCTTAAGTGATTTTTCTGGGTCATTACTCAATGCGAGGATTTAAAGTTATTTCATTTTGCACAACTAATTACTCGACTTGCCTGACAATTCTGGATTACAATGAGCAGTGCATAAGGTCATTTAGCTGTCTGAGTCACAGCACATATTGTAGACTGAACTAAATTTCACGGCAACCAGTTAAGATTGTTTTTACCTCCTCTGAACAAAATGTCAAAATCTGAGGGTTGGAAATAAATATAATGACATAAACTAAGCCAGTAAGAGTGTTACAAAGGTAATAGAGTGGTTGTTTATAGGGACAGGTCTCAAGAAGAGGGAAATTCTATACGCTTTACTTCTCACCAAGCAGGTATAAGGGAAACTCATTATCTCCTTTAACAGATGCAAAACTCTCCTTACAGCTTTCTTAATGCACCTAATTGTGTCTAGGAAAGGAAAACTAAAGGTTCCCATGGACTAGTTCAATCTTAATTGTGTTAATGGCACTATCAGACCTGAGGAGAGATGAATGGAGCCTTGAAAGGACAGGAGAGACCCACAGACCCTACTCAGAGGAATATAGACTACTATTTTAGCAGTTCCAGGCTCTATTCTTAATTTTATAAGGATATTTATGAAGAGAAATATAATTTACGAAGATCTTTTGTCAAAACTGCTGAGTTTACAAGAAAACATGAAAACTGTCACCTCTTAAAGGTAAATGCAATTAATGGCATGTAGTCCAAGAGAAGAGAAGCAAGTACCTGGGAGGGCAGGGGCCAGAAAGCCTTAGGGGTTGTGACAGGACCTGCCAGAACACAGCCCCTCCATGGACTATTTCCATAAATGATCTGTTACAGAGAGGGAACATCTTTCACATCTGTAGCAGCCACAGGCTCAGCTTGCTGAGTGCCAATGTGGCCAGGGAACCTTAGCCAAGGAAACTCTAGATAGAGATCACAGGAAATGCAAGAAAAACAAACATTTCTTGCACTGCAGACCTAAAGCAACGTTATCAGCTGGGCAGTGAAACCCTCTGGATCTGCTCTGTCCATGCACAGCACATCCCGAGCCCATCAGCATCCCTCCCCGCTTCCCAGCTGGGCTTCTCCACTGGGAACAAGCAAGACAGAACAGCTCTTGGGGAAATCTCGCTGGGGCTGCCAGATTTGGCAATCAGAGCAGCTCTTCCCTTTCCCTAACCATCTCCTATTCCTTATCCAGCCAGACTGAGGGGCCACGGAGTAACCACGTCTCTGATAAACTTCTATCAGTGAATGAAGTGGTTCACGGCGGGTGGATTTACTGGATGGAGGGATCATTCTCTTTCCTCCTGTACATTTTCTGAGTCTCTGTGGTGGGGTGACTCCCAGCCTCCACCTCCAGTTTTATTACTGTGCATGTTGGTGTGGAATAGCCCAATTCTGGTCAGCAGCCCTGGCTGTGTCCCCTCCCAATACCTTGCCTATCCCAGCCTAGTGACTGTGGGGACAGAATGGGAAAGGAAGAAGCCTGGATGCCATGCAGGCACTGCTAAGCAGCAGCCAACATGCTGAGGCGTTCTCCACACTGGTTTATCCAGAAATCCAAAGCACAGCACCACAGGAGCCACGACAAAGCCACTTCCCTCCATCCCACCAGGCCCGGCACATTCTTGCACACAGCAGGATGTGGCTGAGGGCACCACGTGTGTCCCAGCTGCCAAACAAAGATGCTCACACAATGGGTACGAACTTAATGAGGTGCCATCAGCGTTAAATGCTGCCTTCCACGGGGGAGAAAACCGATGTGGGCTCCCATGGCACAGATCAATGGCTGGGTCGATCTCAAGGTTCCCGCTCGGAGGCCACTCGATGAGTGAAAGCATTGCTTGGCTGCACAGAGCCAGAGCAAGCAGACCCAAA